TCTCTTTGGAGACTAAGGTGTGTCTGATACAGACCAAGGTCTTTGCTATCACTTGTTATGCTTCAGAGAGTTGGACAATGACTAGGGAGGATAGAAAGAGAATTGATGCCTTTGAACTGTGGTGCTGGAGAAGAGTATTGAGGGTACCATGGACTGCTAGGAAAATCAAACCTGGCTGCTCCTCGGAGGCAAGTATTCTAAGGCTTCATCTAACATACTTTGGACATGTTGCAAGGAGGGACATCATGTTTGGCAGCGTGGAGGAACAGCACAAGAGGCTAGGGCCCTCTATGAGTTGAATTGATTCAGTGACTGGGGTAATTGTGATGCGTGTATCAGAGATGGTGCGATTAGCACAGGACAGAGCAGAGTTTAGGGCTGTTGTACATAGGGTCGCTATGAGTCGCAAGCAACTCGATGGCAGATAACAACAACAACAACTTACAGAGCAGTTGGCCTAGTGGGTAGGAATAGCAATGCCAGCCCAAAGGAGAGAAGACTGAATCCATCCGCTGTTGCACAGGAGAAAGATAAGCATTCTCCTCCTGTGTGATTTACAGCCTCTGACATCCACTGGAGGGTCATCTATGAGTTGGTTCCAACTTGACAGTAATGAGAAATAAATATCTATATATACACATATCTTCAGTTTGAAATGTTGATACGTTTTCTTTCCAATGAAATTAACACTTCTAAATGTTTTTAAGTGATTATTCAAATCAACTTTCTGCCACTGAGTTGGAACGGACTCATTGCTGATCCTTCTTAATAGACAATAACTTGCCCAGCAGAAGACTGTCCATATTCCTTCCTCAGAGCAGCTGGTGAATTTGAATCTACTGCCTTTAGGTAGGCATCACAACTCCTTACCCACTAGGCAACCATAACTCCCTAAATAGGATTTGAAAAGAGAAAAGTTTTTAAAGATAATAAAAACATTAGAGAAATATACCAATTCAGCATAATCAAAGGTATATACCAATTCAGCATGTTCAAAAGAGAGGGAAAATAGATTTGTATCATGTTTTCAAATAGTTAACATTGTCCTACCAAAAAAAATCCATCCACTTATTCATATGAAAGACTTATGAATGCTCATCGTATGAATTGAAGGGAGGAAGGCACTAGGAAGATAAACTCCTGTCCCTCAAGTGATGTATGTCCCTGGAGTGAAGTGTAAGGGTTAATGAGCTTGCCTGGTAACTGTCAAAGAGGGACCTCAGAGGTAAGGCCTGATGATCTCCATCCAAATCAGCAGCCACTGAAAACCCGATAGAGCAAAGACAGTTCTACTCTGACATTCATGGGGTCACTATGAGCAACTAACAGCTGGTTAGGAGGGTAGGGATGGGAGACAGAGGAAGGGAATGTTCTTGTCACCTGCTTCTAGGTGCCCAAAGTATGGGAGGAGGAAAAGTGAGGAGAGTCAGGGAAGTTCTGGAAGAAGAATGGTGTAAGAGATAACCACCTCAGAGGTGTTAAAAAGAGATGAAATGAAAATCTCACACTGTATAATATAGAATCAGATGATGGTCTATACACTCACATGAAAATGCAGGTGTTTTCTTTAGAAAAAAAAAAGGTAAGTTTTTCACTTTGGTAAAAATGGATTTTAAATAGCCTTCCAAAGTATTTTCTTACTCAGCCACTTCCAAATAGTGTGTTCGGTTAAGTTAGGTCCTCCACACATTTGTCACGTAAACACTTTAAGTTTCTGGATGTACAAGTGTTGGTTAATGAGACCTGGTGGTATCTTAGCTGAAAAAGCTAGTAGTAATTTTAACTCATGATTTGGTCCTCAGGAGAAAGATGAGCAGTATCCTCCTATAAAGATTTAGATCTCTAGAAATTGACCAAATGGCAGTGGGTATGGTTTGGGCTTGAAAGTATTGGTTACATAGGACACTGAAATACGTATGTACTGGTTTGAACAGCATATAAGCTAAAGTGTAGTGGACAGCAGATAACTCACCATACAGCAAGGTATTTCTGTGAGCTGTTCTGAGCCTTATCCTGATCTCACCTTTGTCTCCGACATGACTTTCTCTATCACAATAAATCTCTAAGCTTTATTCCTGCAGTCCCTAGCTACATCTTCCTGCTATTCGCTGTGTTTTATGTTTCTTTTCTAAACTGAAAACTACACAGTGAAGATTTACAACTTGGATGGTATGTGGGAGATATTTGGGCTGGGAGTGGATGGGCGACTGCCGTAAGTGCTGAAGGGCATGAAGCAATGTGGCTCAGGAAAGGAGACTTCGCTTATCTTTCCCAAGATCCATATCTAAGGTTTTTGCTGAATAAAACATTCACATGGAGATATTTACAACAGCAAAAAAATAACCACCTCATCTGTCAATCACAAATGATTACTTATCTAAAAATAGAGCAGGAAAAGAAAAAGTGAAGCCATTGCTGGAAATAAATATATATTTATATATATTCTTACCATAGTATGTAAGATACTCAGCTGTGTGTAAAAATGTCAGGGAAACCAGAACATTGAAAATCCAGTTTATCCCAGATGAGCATGCATTTCCTGTACTTCTCGCCCACAGAGGATATATTTCAGAATTCACAGTCCAAGGCATTGGCCCCATTCCTGAAAAATAAAAACTTACAAAGTTCAGTAAAACAGCATATACAAGACTTGAAAAAGCATCACTTGGATCTTCTAAAAAAAAAGAGGCAATTTAATTCATGTAACAGTAACAACAGAACATTTGCTTACCAGGTGCAAAGAAAACAAGATACAAGATAAGGCCTAGAAGTGCAGTCCACGAGTATGGAGTAGGGCAGAAATTGTAAGCCCAAAAGACTTCTTCCGTTTTGAATTTGGTTTCATTTCCACACCTGAAAAACGATGCAATACAAGCATTAATTCTGATATAGTTGAAGAAATTCAGTGTGGTCACAGCTGATATTTGGAACCTTTTTAAGAAAGAAGTCTATGAGTGAAAAAAGATACATACATACATACATACATATGTGTGTGTCCACTTCTGTGTGCATTTGTAAAAAAAAATAGGGAACTGTGGTGGCCTAGTAATGAGTTTCACTGCTAACTCAAAGGCATGTAGTTCAAATCCATCAGCTCCTCCACAGAAGAAAAATAGGAAATCTCCCTGAGCAATTTACAGTCTCGGAAAATCTGCTGGAGGGTAAGCTTCGAGTTGGTTCCAATCTTATGGACCATACTAAATATAAATTTAGGTAGCATACAGAGGAATATTAGGTATGAAAGCTCATATAGAACTTCTCAGAGCTAAATATAATGCAAATGTAACACATAAATAAATATGCATCATATCCATTACATAGGATATGAAACATGATTTCTAGTTACTCATCTGAAGCTCCAATAACAATTTAAAATCACTCAGGAGTTAGTATGTTGGAGTAAATGGAACTTAAGATTTTGCAGTCAGTTGCTGTTGTTGTTGTTATGTACTGTCAAGTTACCTGTTCCTTATCATGACCCTACATACAAAAGCCCTAGACCCTGATTTCACTGTCTCTGACACAATGACTCCCGTTACCCTAGTCACTAATTACTTAATCTATCTCATTAAGGGTCTTCCTCTTCTGTACTGTCTCTCCACCCTCCCAAGCATGACGTCCCTCTCCAAGGATGGTCCCTCTTTGCAGTACATTCAAAGTATGTCAGACAAAGCTTCCGAATCCTTGCTTCCAAAGAGCATTCTGGTTTCACCCTCTCCAGGATGAACTTGTTTGTTTTCCTAAGAAGTCCAGGGCATATTCAACTCTTCTCCAGCAACACAGCTCAAAGGCATCAATTCTCCTTCTATCATCCCTAGTCATTGTCCAGCTCTCTGATACATAGTAAGTGTATGCTTACAAGAACATGGCCTGTATCAAGTGCACCTTAGTCTCCAGACTGACACTGTTGCTCTTCAGTACTTTGGAGAGGTCCCTGACTGCTAATTTCCCCCAATGTATTTAATCTTTTGAGTTCCTGGCTACTGGTGCCAAGAGTGTTGATTGTGGGCCCAACCAAACTAAAGCTGTTAAAAATCTCAACCTCTTCACCATTTATCATGATGCTGCTAACCAGCCCAGTGGTGAGAATCTTTGGTTTCTTTATACTGAACTTCAGTCCATATTTATTTAAGGCTGCAGTCCTTGACCTTCTGCAGCAAGTGCTTCAGGTCCTCCTCAGTTTCAGCAAGCGGTGTTGCATCATCTGCATAATGCAGATTGCTGGCTGATGAGTCTACCTCCAAGCCTGATGCCCCATTTCTCCTCAGAGAGCCCAACCTCCTGGATAATCTATTCCACATACAGATTGAAAAGGTATGGAGACAGGATACAGTCCTGGCTTATACCCTTCCCAATTTTGAACCATTCACTGTTTCCTTGATCTGTTCTAATGACTGCCTCCTGGTCCAAGTATAGGTTTTTCAAAAGCATGATCAAGTGTTCTGGGATTCCCATTCTTCTCAGAGTCAGACATAGTTTGTTGTGGTCCAAGGGAAGATTAAAATTCTAGGCTAGCCTTTTTTTATGTGTATAATGTATTTAACACTTTACAAGATAGCTCAATGATTAGAAGAATCATTTGTAAAAGGAAGACAGGGTAAAAGAGGGAAGCAGACAGGACACGTGTGAGGATAGAATGTTGTAGTGAGGTACAGCTAAGTGGACAGTGACTCATAATCACTCATTTATTAACAATAGAGCTGAACTGTGCCCGATCCTGTACCATCCTCATCTTTGATCAGAGAGACTCTGATTAGATCTTATTCTGGGAACAGTAATGGTGCAAAGATAGAACTCTTGTTTTCCATGCAGAAGACCTAAGTTCAATTCCTGGCCAATACGAAACCATCACCTATCTCACAGTGGAAGTTTGTGTGTTGCTATGATGTTGAAAGGTATCCTTTGCGTAGTTTCACTCAAGGTTTATGGAATCTTTTAAAGTGATGTTGTTACTGTGTACCATTGAGTTGGAACCAACCTATAACTAGCCCTCTAGCAGATTTTCAGAGGCAGTTTAATCACAGGGGAAGAGAGTGCCCGTCCTTCTTCCACAGAGCTGCTGGTGGATCTGAATCACGCACCTTTGGGACTGCAGCACGGTTTCTCACCACTAGGCCACCAGAGCTCCCTTTTAAGGTGATAGTCTCAGGAATACTTTAGTATCTACTGGTCTTGGAAGTCTGGGCTTTTTAAGAATTTAAGTTCTGTTACATATTTTCCTCTCTTTCTATTAGAATTCATCATGGCTCTGAACAGAATGGCTGTGTTGGCTGAGCATGAGTTCATTTTGGTTCAGATGGGGCCATGGTTCATTGTAGACAGTTAGTTTTGTAGAATAGCTTCTCTGTGCTTCTAATGTTCTTTTGAACTGGACAATAAATGACTGATAGTTGTATTTAGGTAGTTACTTGTAAGTTCTACTGCCCCGGATGCTACACATAACTAGGATGTAGAGTATAACTTTTGTGATCTGTATTATGCTAAATGACTGAGTTGTCCCACAAGGTCCCATGGCTTCAAAAGAAGAAAAGCCATTGTGCAAGGTGTTTCATTCAAAACCTAAAACTTCAAACTCATTGCTACTGAGTTGGAAAACTCATAGTTGACCTTTGGCAGGTTTTCAAAAGGCTGTAAACAGCTTGAGAGGAGATTTCCCTGCAGAGCCACTGGACTTGCACCACCAGTGGCACCAGGTTTGGTTTAGCAGCACAGCTCTCTATGGAATATAGTACCTGGTCTAAGAAATATCTGTAACCTTGCCTCCTATACCTAAGAATATTTTATATATGAGTAAACAAGCATACAACAAAAGACTCATCTGTCAGTTTGTTGTACTGTGGTGGCTTACACATTGCTGTGATGCTAGAAGCTGAGCCACTAGCATATAGATATTAGCAGGGTCAGTTGTGTTTGACAGGTTCCACTTAAGCTTCCAGATTAAGACTGGAAACCTACCTCTGAGGCCATAAAGGCCAATGAAAACATTATGAAGTAGTGAGACTCTGTCTGATATACTACCAATGAGGCTTTCAGGTTGAAAGGCAGAGTACCATGAAGGAGGAATTGCTTCTTCAAATTAGAGTCTATAACCCAATTGAAAAATGGGCACAGGATATTAACAGACACTTCACCAAAGAAGACATTCAGATGGCCAACAAATATATGAAGAAATGCTCAAAATCCTTAGCTCTTAGAGAGATGCAAATTAAAACAACTATAAAATATCATCTTACCCCAGTAAGAACAGCAAAATTTAATGGAGCAGTAAACAACAAATTCTGGTGAGGTTGTGGAGAAACTGGAACCCTTATTCACTGCTGGTGGCAGTGTAAAATAGTGCAACCACTGTGGAAGGCTGTATGGCATGTTCTCAAAAAGTAGCATATAGAGTTACCATCTGACCTAGCAATTCCTCTACTGGGAATATATCCTAAAGAAACCATAACTGCCACCCAAGCAGATATATGCACACCCATGTTTATCATGGCTTTGTTCACATTAGCAAGGAGTTGGAAACAACCCAGGTGCCCATCAACAAACGAATGGATAGAGAAGGTCTGGTATATTCACATAATGGAATACTATGCAGCATTGAAAAACAAGGAACTCATGCAATATTATTCAAAATGGGTGACCCTGGAGGACATTATGCTGAGTGAAATATCTCAGTCACAAAAGGACAAATATTTCATAGTACCACTGTTGTAGAATGGGACTGACATCAGTGTTGGGGTGAGACTGAGAAAAATTGGATAAATTATGTATAAGGCATTGAAACAGATGAGGGAAAGAACAATTTAATAGCGATATATGATTGGGTATTATGGTTATGACAAGAGTCCAGAATGAAGATTGCATAGTGGAGTGTACTCGGGGCGGGGGTGGGGGGGTGGCATTCTGTATCAGTGAAGGAATTTTTCTTTTAGTTTTCAAAGAGAAGAGCAAATTGGGGTGGGGAGGGGTGGGTCAGGGAGAAAAATGCAACAATAAATGAGTGGAAATCCAAAATCTCTCTAAATGTTCATTAAAATTAATAAAAAATGTATAAAGAAAAAAAAGTAGAGTCTACCTTAATGATGTGGAGGGAGTAAAGAATTTGGCCAATTATTTGTTGATATGGCATCAAGCAAAATTAGGAGAAACAAGTGCAAACATTCATTAATAATCTGACTAGGGAACATAAAAAGTATGAATCTAGAAAAACCAAAGGTTGTAAAAATAAAAAGGAACATAAAAAGACTGAAATCCAGGTATCAGTAAACTGAAATGGAGTGGTATTTGCCATTTTGAATAAGGTAAGTTATGGGATGATATAAAGTACATTATATCGGAAGAAGGCAAAAGTCATTCAAAAGATAAAAATTAAAGACCAAAATGGATTTCAGAAAAAGCCCCAAAACTTGCTCTAAAACACAGCGAACCCAATGTGAAGGGAAGAAATGGTGGCATAAGATAGCTTAAGAGGTGATTTCAAGGGCTAGCTCAAGAAGAAAAATAAATATATGTGTGTGTGTAATGAACTATGCCAAGAGATAACAGAATGGAAGAACATGTGTAACACTTCTCAAGCTCAAATAACTGAAGAAAAATATTTAATTCTTTTGTTGTAATTATTAAGTATTCTATTAGTAAAATAATGAATGACACAGGATGCATCAAAAGGAGGTGGGGAAAATACAGTTACTGTACCTAAAAGATTTCATCCACCTCAGAAAGAAGCATATTATGATCAATTGATAGTATTAATGGTGTGAAATCCAAAGAGCACTGAAGACCCTAGTAATTGCCACCTATTGTCAGTAATTAATTATAATTAATTGTTGAAACAACTTAAATGTTTCAACAAATAGATG